TAATTTCCCACTGAGCCTGAACTAACCGCAGTGTCTTCCCCTCACCTTTCGGTTCCAGTTGAGCAGTGTTCAGAGCAGCACTGGACTCATGTCGTTATTCTAATAAACCTGTTAAACTTTTCCCTGGTCTCTCTGTTTGGTTCCTCTGCATGTGGGTCCGAGCTTTAGATAAATCATGACAGATGCTTCCCTGTTAGATCTTAGTGCTGCATTTGATACAGTCAGTCGGTCATATTCATTTGGAAAGGCTTGAATATTCTTTAGAAATCAAGGGAAAACCACTAGGCTGGTTTAAACAGCCTGTTTGACAAATTTCAATTTCCCCATGGTTATTTGTGGAGTACCACAGAGATCAGTACAACGGCCAGTTCTCTTTACAATATATGCTCCCAATTGGTAGAATTATCAGACAGCATGGCGTTATTTTTTCCAATACTGGGGTCCGTTTCATAAAGCAGGTTTAACAAATTCAGGCTGATATCCACAACTCTAAATTGACCTCTGCTTTCAGTGTACGCCATCGCGTGAAAGGATCTCCCAAAAACACTCTGGTCTTGTGTCTTGTTTCTCTCTTCTGTGGCCTTTCTCATCTTCTATTACACTTAGCTTTTTTAGACACTTTTTGTTTTACAACTCTTGGCCATTTTCCAAAAACAGAGGTGAGAAAGGTGAGCTTGACTTGATGGGAATATAGCTCACCACAGATCTTCACCTGAAAGTGCGCATGTGCAAAAAAAAAAAATATATTGCTAGCTGGGCTGGGGACGAGCACGTAAGACGGCCTTGCGTTAACATATCAGTAGAATGACTGACAATAAGGAGGACAACTTATTTAGATGATACACCCGGACATAAAAGATCATTGTCTACACCAGAGGTCATGTATTAGCGGACCACAGTCCGGATCCGGAGCCACCGGCTGGCTAATCCGGACCCAACCAGTCTCTAATTTCACTTGCACCGCTTCTCCTGTTAATATGGTAAAACCGTCCGGAGTGCAGAGACCAGGCTACACATGATACAAATTAGCCATATATATATATATATATATATATACCGTAAATTCTCTAATATTGGCCTGTATTCCAATAGCGGCCGGGTCTCTAACATTGGCCGGTCTCGCTGTCAGA